GCTCAATTTTTCACTGGTGCCTTGAGTTGGAATTTGCTCTTTCAAACAAGGGTTTTACATGAGTTGTGACAACACTAATTGTTATCTACAGATTGAAAAAATAAGAATGAGCACTCAACGTGAGTTACGCAGGAGTGCCAACGAGTTCTGAATAGAATATTTGTTCTTCATATCACTTACGCCTGACTTCCACAGTATCACTACTGGGCCCCTTTCGTTAGCGAACTGTTGCAACTTCTGCTCGGCTGTCTGACCAGTCACTCAACATCAGTCCTCTCTTAGACCTCTTAGGACAATAAGATTAAAAAGCATTCACCAAATGGAAGTAAATGTTGTTTGCATGGACATAAAAAAACGAATCACGGGTTTGTTGTTATCAAGAAACCTTAAACATTTTCTGGTGAAGTTAAAGGTTTCTCAGTATTAGGTTACCGATGCCAATTTTTTTCCCTAAAGTATTAACCGTTGTATTAAAATTCATAGTTCATTTTGGTCATGGAAGAAGAGTGCAACTGCTGAATATGTTGGTCACAAAATTATGATGCAGATTAAGTTGGTAAAATACAGAATATTTCTACACTCTTGTGATGGTAGCTTAACATAGGTCAACAAGCTAGAATCGTGTACAAACGTCCTGGGATACATTTGCATACGTGGGACTTTCTTTAAATCACACATGCCCAACTCCTTCGCCCGCCACCCCACAAACGAGGTAAGACGCGTGTATCCACAATTTTCCCAAGTTTTAACAGTATAGAGTGGGGGAGAGAACTTGAGATATTTTCAAAGAGGTTGTACGTTTTTATTAGCGCACCAAGAAACGTCAGAAAATTATGAATAATGCATCACTATTCCAAGGACGTTTGTCCAGGATTGGAGCTAAGAAAGAGTAAACTTCAGACCAAGTCAACCTCTATTAATTCTATCAGTAATACGAGGAAAGGCGAGCGGCGAGCGCAGACTGATAAATTCGCCGATTTTGTGCAAGTTTAAGGAATGAGTAATTGCTTAACAGTGATAACAAGTATAAGTAGATCCGCAACATTCTAAAGAATTAACTGTGCATGGTGTTTGAAAATGACGTAAACAAAAAATGAATGAAATTATAGTCAGCAGCGTTATTGTCTTCAAATAAGCGACGGGGGACCCCAGATAGGTGAGGTAACATGTGGCGGCTCACCCCACCTATCATGCAAACGTGATCAAATTAAAATGAAAGATTATATGAACAAGCAAGTTACCTCACCTACCTGGGGTCTCCAGCCTCCATGTAAACAGGCCCTAAATCATGCATGGAGGTGTTGTTCAAAACACATTAGAATTACAACAAGAGTCGCCAATAGGCGATTTTAACTGGGCTACCAATTTTCTTGGGGGAGAGGTGGCTGCTCACACCCAGGCCACCAGGCTTGTCGCTGACCATTGAGTGACATAGCATCTCATGTGAGAGTTCTAAAACTCGAGGCGTTGGGAGAATTCTCGACAGTTATGCAAACCCTCGACTTCGTCTCGGGTTTGCATAACTGTCTCAATTCTCCCAACCCTTCTCGTGTTTATATCACGCTATGCAAACACGGAAAACGTTTTCTATTGCTTAAATATAATATTATAGTTTCACGCACCCCTCCCCCAATGCCTTTGTCCCCCAAAATAAAGTGTGACTAATTTGACCCAACCGGAAATTCCCCAAGACATTTCTTTCACACGAAAAGCAAGGATCGCAATAAGATAAAAGTACATTGGCCCTCACAGTTTCAACGATTTAAATTTCAACATAAAGAGAAGAGAAAACTTAAAAGCGAGCCATCCTACTATACTTTGAAACTGGCACTGATAAAAAGTGGAAATGATAGCTTGATAGACGTCTTTATTCACTGGATGTACACACACACGCTCTAGCCACAAACACAGAGAGATTTGCAATCACGTTTTAGAAGGGCAAACATCATCCAAAGGTTTAAACTTCAACAAATGGTGAACAAAACCCCAAAACATACTCATCGTAGAGTCTTTTGAAGGAGACGATGAAAAAGAACACAAAGACATCTTTATTTAATGGCTGCCTCATCCTCGAAGACCCAGGGGCAGTCAGTCGAGCCGGGAGAAAGGCGCGACGAAAGTTTTCAAGCACAGGCGGAAGAGCCCCTGGGTACCGACTCTCACCGGACCATTTCCAGACGGTCAAGTAATTGCTGGCTCCTGATTGAGCACAAAAAATGCTTTGTATTATTGTGCCCAATCGGGGAACAGCATCTCCTGAGTTCTTTTCGTGAGTTCGTACACGACGCTACAGCTATTGACTCGATCACGGCTTGTCTGGCTCATGTACCAAACAAATGCACGCAGTCAGGAAACTTTCAGTTTGATATAAACACTTTATTTCAAAATACTGGTTGTCTTTACACTAGGCTGTTAAGTAAGACTTAGGAGCTGCTAAGTTTTACTTAACCAAAAATTCGTGTGTGAAGACCTAAGTAAAATCTCAAGTAACTTTACTTTG